TCAACCCTGAGCCGGTGAGATTTGAACCGCTGAACTGCTGATCTAGCAGTAGCCTGCAGTGCTGCATTTAACCACTGCGCCACCTTGGCTCTGTTTAGAACAGAGCTGTTTAGAAGACTCAAGTGAAGTTTGAGTAAGGAACATGAGTGCTGCCTTTTTCTTTTCCCATCCTGCCCATCCAGAAAGCATGCAATATTGTGAGTAGGTAAATGGGTACCATTTTGGTGGGGGAAAAAACTAGCTGTGCTCGTGTGGACCTGGCCAGATGCAAGGCATTGCCAAGGTGAGGTGAGGCTGGCTGGAATAGCCAGCAACATGACCACTGCCAGTCAGCTGTTGTAAGCTAGTTCCAAGGTTACGTGTGCAAGCATTGAACAGAATGAGCTAGCAATTACGCGGTCACAACTGCATATTGTGTCTAGCATTTGCAGATTTCCTTGATGTTGTATGCCATATGCCAGAGGACCCCAATTCCTGGGCCATGGACCACTACCACGCCATGTGAGCGTTGGGCCACTATGCGGTGCCCCTCTTCCCCCCTCCCTATGTTGGGCTGCCAAGTCACAAAGGTTGGAGATCACCACCATATGCTATCTAAATAAATAAAATTCCTTTTTCTCTAGGAGAGATGATAAAAAATACCAGTCTAATAAAAACAGTAAAAATATTGGTTTCCAGCAGAAAGGTAAAAGAAATTAAAATAAAATGGGATGACGGAATAGAAAAAGGGTTAATGTTTTTAAAAGGCTTCAGAGGGAGCTCTTAACATCAGGGGCTACCTATATCATCATCCTCTTACTGGACACAAAGCCATGGAGTGTAACATTTTCTACATTCACACTTGGGCTTCTTTCCCAAAAATCTGTCAATGACAAACAAGATTTCACCAGGACGTTGCCACAATGGAAAAACTATCAGGGCAATTGAGAACCATGAATGCTGGCTGACTTGATGGATACTACAAATGAAATTCAGCAGCAAAATACATGCAGCCCTCATGAAGATAGGAAATGTGATTAAATACATTATAGTCATCAAAAGTTAATTTCATATTTCTCAAGGTTCCTATGTGATACAATCAGTCAGAAAATACATCTGTGTTTTTTGAAGGGGTCTATGCAATTGGCAAATGTTTTTCAGGAAGCACAACTTTTTTTTAAAAAAAATGTCCAGTTTAATTGGTACCTTATTAATTTTTATTGTGCAATGAAATAAGTTGTAGCTGCAACTTTTTTGTTTTGTACAGTAAGGCAGAGTTGAGTAATCTCTTCCAGAGATACACACACAGGGCATAAGGACCTTGCAGGAACAGAAACGCAATAGCTTCGTTTGGCAACTCGGAAGAGATGGAGTAATACACAACAGTGGAAAGCACAAATGTTTATTTCAGAAGTTCAACAAAACTATGTAAGTTATAACTGTCCAAATCTGATTTTTTTAAAAAAAT